ATAAAAACCAATTTATTAAATTTGTATGGCCTTATAGTATTATTAAATAAATAATTTACTTTTTAAAGGATCTTCATATCTAACAAAATAATCTTCTTGGAAAACCCACAATGGCTCTCTGCTGCCTTTTTTATATTTCTTATTAGAAATAGTTACTTCAGAGTTTTCATTAATAGTAGCTATTTTGGCATTTTCATTAATAGTGGTTATTTTGGCATTTTCATCAACAGTATCTACTTCAGGCCTTTCATTCTCACTAATGATATAATAAACACTTTGCATTCTAGTTATAATATATAATAGTTAATGATATTCTAATAAGTTAAATAGAATATATGAAATCACAATTTTTTAGTACAATAAGTATATCATTATCTATTTTATTATATTAAAGCCAATGTCATTTGATTTTGGATTTGATTCTAAATATTAAAATTGCTAATAATATATTATAAATGAATTGTTTTAATTAGTAAAATTTTAACTTTACTTAAAACATATTATAAACATAATATTATATACTTATACAACTTCTTATTGCAATATTATTTAAATAGATTCTCTTTACCAATATCTCTAAGCCAGATATCTGACTTCTTTATTTCGCTTAAATTAAACCTTGCCCCATACAGTACTGTATGATTACAGAAACCTATTAAAAAGAAATTGAGAGTTCAAACTTGTTTCTTTACTAATAACATTTTCCTTATTAGACTCATTTAATTTCTTCAAGCTTCTTTGAAGTATACTCTAGTACTAGCTACCTGGTTTCTGTAGTTCTCTGCTTGGTGTACTAAAGAACAAAAATTAGATCTTTAAAATTAGTGCTTATACTGTATTATTTGTTATATACAATACTAATTTTGGAGACATATGCTATAAATTAAAAGATTATATAATAAGATCCATAAATTAATAAGATATATAAATTAATTAAGAGGTAATCTGCAGTTAAAGGGTTAAAATTTCATAGTAAAAATCGGCACAGTTTTACTAATTGCCTTATATGGAAGTGAAATGCTATACATTTCTGATCATAATAAAAAACTCTATAGTAAACAATTAACAAATGCTCATATTGTGTCATATACTAATGTGATTTTAATGATTTGACTATTATTAGAATTAAAAAAGTTGGTTCTGCAAAGTTTAACTAAAATTATAAAAGGTTTGCTTAGTAAAAAAAATACTTTTATATGTAGAAAAGTCCCATTCGCACACTATAGAATTTACTATTAAATTTCTGCTATAATTTATTATAAAATGTCGATTATTTTATACCCTTTATCTGTGATCTTCCTCTTAAAATTTTTTTAAGCAATTTAAAGCCAAATTTAAATAATGTTGAATAATTAAGTAAAAAAAAGTCTTTAGCAATATAGAAAATCTAAACATAGTTACTTAATATTACTTCGTATTCTTATTCTAAAACTATTGCTTATATGAGCCATATTTATTATATTCACATGAGATATCAATTATTTGTTTTATAGCTATTTTCATTATTTTTGAAACATCTATAAAAAATTAGCTGAAAAAAATTTTTGGCCAGTAATTTTTTCAGCATAATAAATTCAATAAAAATTGATATAATACTATAATATATACATAATTTAAAATATAGCTAATATAAATAAAAAATTATACATATCTATAATATATTTAATTTATAATGTAGATATTATATCAATATTACAGTAAATTAAAATTGATTAAATTCAAAAATATATTTTTTTATATACCAATTATGCCGAAAAAATTACTGGCCGAAAATTTTTTTTAGCTAATTTTTTATAAGTGTCCCAAAAATAATAAAAATAGCTATAAAGCTTTTAGCATTAAAAATAAAGTAGCTATTTTTTGAACCAGTTTTTAATTTGTTGAGAATTCATTGCTTGATATTCAAAAAATGCAAAAATATAAAGTAATGCTTGAATGACCTTTATTAATGAATAAATTTTTGAAGAAAAAAATAGTTAATTCATTTATTTCTTGACTACTTTAGTGCACTGACCAAAAAACCCGGGGTCTAATACAAAATACCCAACAAAAATCTTACAAAAGACCCAGGTATATTATATAGCAGCGGGTCAGTGCCACAAGAAAAAAAATTTTCAAGTCTATACATATTCTGCACTTACAATAAGCAGTCTAAAAATTTTAAAAAAAAACTATATTTAATTGATAGAGGTCTCGTGTTTTGTACTGGGTACTTTGCAAGAAGAGATATTGAAAAAGGGAGATACTTTGGTCAGTGCACTACAGTAATTAAAATTTTATATTCGATTAATTAGCATGTTATCTTTGGATGAGATTATTTTCTGAAATAGTATTAGCATTGATATTTTATTTTAGCAATTTATTAAATAAATACTACTAAGAAAAATAGCACTTCATACCAGATAAATCAAATAGATTGTGTCTAAAACAAAATATAATTAAAAGTTTGAAGTACTATTTATTTAGCAGCACTCAAATAAGTATTCTATTATCTAAGTGTTTTAATATCCTTATATAGTCAAATATATGGAGGAGAGTCAATAGAATCTAGGCAAATTGTTTTTAGTAAGTTTTTTTAAAACTTTAAAGTAAAATATCTTAACAACTATTAGACTAAACTTGATGAAATTTTTTTTATTTTAATTTTATAACTAAATAGAATTAAAATAAAAAAATTTCTATCAAGTTTGGTTTAATAGTTGTTGAGATATTTTAATTTAAAGTCTAAAAAAAATTTATATAGAAACAATTTGCCTGGATTCTATTAACTCCCCCCCATATATATTTGAAAAATTTTCAATCAAACATTAGTTATATTTATATTTTCTGATTGGTTACTTTTTGTGTTACTAGATATTATGGGTATTATTGGGTATATTTATAAAGCCCAAACCTGGCCTAGTAGTTTATAGGCCCAAATACATACCTGGCCCAAATTATAAAACATAGGCTCAAACCTGGCCCAAACCTGCAAATTTTCGGGTTTAACTTGGCCTATTCCACACCCTACTCTGTGTTGTCAATAGGGTTGCAGAGAAAGTAACCTCAGACTGCAAAGTTTAGCTATTGTGGTGTTGAGGGGAGTTTAAATTTTGCTAGTAGAAGTTTAAAGTAGCTAGGTGGTATTTTTTCTACATTATAAAACTTTAATAATTTTTGTTTATATTATGTTAAGTATAGAAGACTTGCATGTTTAGTAATTGGGAACAGGTCCCGTACTTCTGGATATAAATTGCTTGGGTCTTTGGGAAGTTCTTTAAGAGGGTGTTTGAAGTATGAATTGGGCAGTTTCATAAAATGATAAACTTTTTTCAATACTAGTACTGTAGCTCTAGTTAATTTCTGATCTACTATTGAGAGTGAAAATAGCATAATTTTCATTATATTTTCTCTAATCTCTTGTGGATGTGCAGGTAAAGGGTTAATAATCAAGTATGAATGGATTCAATTTGTCTATATACATCCTCGAATTCCTGATCACATGTAATCCTTGCAAAGTTTAGGGTATAAAATATGTAGCAAGTATAGTCATGAGGGCTTACTAACAAAAAATTGATATTGCAAATAAAATCAATAGCCAGTTTAATCTTGAGCTTCTAGAAGATTTGATTTCTATTCAGTTTGTTAATAAAGGTTGCAATATGGAGCCTCTTATATCTTTCGATTGCTATTTGGAATAAGCTATTAAATTCTTTTTGGTGAGCAGGTTTTGTATTTTTATCTTTTGAAAAGGTCCAGAAAAAAGCAGTATCGAGATACTTAAATTTCTGTGCTATTGCTGATAGTAAATTATATTGAATAGGCTTAGCTTTGATTTTATATATCCAAAAGTTATTTAATAATTCTTTGTCTCTGAAAGCCTAAATAATCTTGTCATTGTGCTATGTAGTAGTGTCAAATTCTAGTACACGTAGCTTAGCTAGTGTCTGTATAACTGTATTTGCTCGTTTAATCTTTATTCTTTTTTATATTCTTTTTAAGCACATTACTGTATAACATAGATAGTTGTGATTCTATTGTTGCATTAGAGTATAGATCTATTTTCTGATTAGTTTCGTTGTCTATTGTTTTTTTTTAAAGAGCCCTGTTGTGTCTAAGTGATCAGGTTCTGCGATTAATAGTCACTGTGGGAATATTCATTCTTCCTTTCTAAATTTTCTTTCATGATTGTTGTAGCTTCTATTTTTGGTATTATATTGCATTTTGACAGGAGTAAGCTAGAATCCCCACTTTGTATTTGTGTTGTCAAAGCATTTTGGTTATCTACAAAAGTAAAATTAACTAAGTGGGTATCAGTTTTGACTAGTTTTACTATTATAGACTTTTTTCTAGTTCTTGTTTTAGCAATAACCTCTTTTAGTAGTTGTTTAGTAGTTTCACCTGATGTCCTACTAGAGTCTATTAGGTGAAGAGGCAGCATTAAATTAAATGTAAAGAAGGGTTCAAAGGCATCTGGAGTTGTGTAGATTGTAGGTTTTTCCCTTTTTACTATTTTGTTAGCACTTAGTATTGACTTGATGGGAGCTGTTTGTCTAAAGGTTTGGTCTTTTAATTAAAACTTAGTTCTAATTCTAATTGGTGTGCACTTTGTATACTAATTTATTTTACTTAATAAATTAGGATCTACAGGAAAGAGTTCTAATAAATTTTGATTTTATTTTAATTTTATATAATTTTAAAATTTTTAGCAAATTTAATTAAATAGTTGTTAAAATATTTTAATTTAAAAATTAAAAAAATTTCACTAAAAACAATTTGCTACTTTTCTATTAACTTCCCTATTTGTATACTAGTGTTTTTTTTTTTTTATAAATTCGGTAATTATGCTAATACTTTATTAGGTATAAAAATTACATATCTATTTTATATTTATTTTATAAGTAATCTAACTTTAATACTAGAATAAACATATTGCTTCTAATTTACAAGTATTAACTCACTTGGCTCTTTGCAACAAGAGTCTTCTATGACAAAAGTTCAAATTTTTCATATACGATTTGCTATAGTGAAATTTTTTCTCTATACTAAACCTTTTTACTAATAAAGAATCTAATATATCACTGAGTGGCATTTACAGCTATCATGATTTTCTTCTCTTTTTTGAACTTTAAATCTTTTTCTTCTTACTTCCCAAGTAGAAAGAAAAACTTATAACTACTCATTGAAAAAACTTCAAGATCAAAAAAAAAAAAAGAGAAGTTTAAATCCAAAAAGAAGAAATATCCAAATAAATATTACAAAAAAACTATATAAAAAACCCTACAAAGAAAAAAAAAAAAAAAGAGAAAATAAAAAAAAAAAGAAACAAAAATAACAAAAGCACTATTATAACCCATGTTAAGTTAAAAAATATTATACATGTGCCTTCGGAATAACATATATCTCACATAATACTAATAAAAGTATCTAAAGCTAACTATAAACTTTTTCATAAATTAAATCAATAATAAAAATTGCTATATGTTTTGCATATATTTGTTGTTTTCCTAATTTGCCACATTGCAATAGCAACTTCTAAAAATAAAAGTAGTAAACAATGTTAATTGTTTGAAGAGAGTAGCCAAATTTTTTCGAAAATTTTGTAAAAAAAAATACCAACAGAAAAAAATTGAGTGCAAGATAACTAAAGTTTTAGAGAAAATAGTAAAAAACTTATTTGTTGTCTATCTAGAAAGCCAGAACACCAAAACAACTTTGTCAATAGAAAAACTCCAAATTTCTATTAAAATTTTCAATACAAGGATGCCTTCAACTTGCTAGTTATCTTGTATATAAATGCTTTTGACTTGTATGCCAAAAGTAAGCAAGAAGTCCTCCAAATAGTAAAGGTTGTCCTCAGATATTTTACTTACGAACCATTGTATGAAAGGTGTTTGCTTCTTCTGCTATCTCCAACAAAATTTTTGTTTTTCATTAGCTAGAAATTTTGGTGCAGGTAATTGTTGGAAAGAGTTTTTTTTTTTTTTTTTCCGGTATTAAGGTGACCTCTTTGGCCGGGGAACGTTTTATTAGATAGTTATATTTTTCAATTACAGTAAGAGTACATATAGCCACACGTGCACCTTTTGAGTGCCTAATTTAAGTAGTCCGCCCGAAGG